TACACACATATTTAAAATTTCATTAACTTAAGTAAGCCATATTTTTAGGTTAGACTTGGACAACTGTTATTAATATAACACCAACTTCTAAAAAATCTTTGGGGTCAATACCATAATTCTCCATACAGGTAAGCCCTTGTAAAATGGGACATTTTTGTAACCTCAGTAACAAAATGTTATTAGAATTTGAAAATTTACCCTGGTGTACAGAAATCTAATCCTTCACAACTTGTGTTAAAGTATCACATCAGTGGTAAACAGGACCCCCTTTATTTTTAACACAGTTAAGGGCTTGTGAATACAAAAATGAGTGTTCTTTGTTAATAATGAAATAATTACTTTATAATATTAATAAGGTACCAAGTGTATAAAGAAGAACTTTTGGAAATCACTGTACTTGGAAATAAGGCTGAATAAAAAATGGTGATGGAGATTTTTAACGTGCCACCCAGTTTCTGTATTTTGGGTGTCGATATGGTGCTTTTTATTTGGGATTTTTCTTGTTTCTTGAGATAGGCCTGGATTGCAATGTATTTTCCTCTCAGGACTGCCTTCGCTGCATCACAAAGCATTTGGATTGTTGTATTTTCATTTTCATTTGTTTCCATGTGTTTTTTAATTTCTTCCCTAATTGTCTGGTTGACCCATTCATTCTTTAGTAGGATGTTCTTTAACCTCCATGCTTTTGGAGGTTTTCCAGACTTTTTCCCGTGGTTGATTTCAAGCTTCATTGCATTGTGATCTGAAAGTGTGCATGGTATGATCTCAATTATTTTATACTTATTAAGGGTTGTTTTGTGACCCATTATGTGATCTTGGAGAATGTTCCATGTGCACTCGAGAAGAAAGTATATTCTTTGCTTTGGGATGCAGAGTTCTAAATATATCTGTCAAGTCCATCTGATCTAATGTATCATTCAGGGCCCTTGTTTCTTTATTGATTCTCTGTCTAGATGATCTATCCATTGTTGTAAGTGGAGTGTTAAAGTCCCCTGCAATTACCACATTCTTATCAATAAGGTTGCTTATGTTTGTGATTAATTGTTTTATATATTTGGGTGCTTCTGAATTCGGTGCATAGACATTTATAATTGTTAGCTCTTCCTGATGGATAGACCCTGTAATTATTATATAATGCCCTTCTTCATCTCTTGTTACAACCTTTAATTTAAAGCCTAGTTTGTCTGATATAAGTATGGCTACTCCAGCTTTCTTTTGACTTCGTATAGCATGATAGATAGTTCTCCATCCCTTCACTTGCAATCTGAAGGTGTCCTCAGGTCTAAAATGGGTCTCTTGTAGACAGCAAATAGATGGGTCTTGTTTTTTTTATCCATTCTGATACCTTGTGTCTTTTGGTTGGAACATTTAGTCCATTTACATTCAGTGTTATTATTGAAAGATATGGGTTTAGAGTCATTATGTTATCTATAGATTTCATGCTTGTAGTGGTGTCTCTGGTCCTTTGTGGTCCTTGCAACATTTCATTCACAGAGTCCCCTTTAGGATCTATTGTAGGGCTCATTTAGTGATGATGAATTCCTTCAGTTTTGTTTGTTTGAGAAAACCTTTATTTCTCCTTCTATTTTGAGTGACAGACTTGCTGGGTAAAGGATTCTTGGCTGCATATTTTTCCTGCTCATCACATTGAAGATTTCCTCCCATTCCTTTCTGGCTTGCCAAGTTTCAGTAGATAGGTCTACTTACTACCCTTATGTATCTACCTTTGTATGTTAAGGCCCATTTATCCCTAGCTGCTTTCAGAATTCTCTCTTTATCCTTGTATTTTGCCAGTTTCACTATGATATATTGTGCAGAAGATCAATTCAAGTTACGCCTGAAGGGAGTTCTCTGTGCCTCTTGGATTTCAATGCCTGTTTCCTTCCACAGATCAGGGAAGTTCTCAGCTATGATTTGTTCAAGTACACCTTCAGCCCCTTTCTCTCTCTCTTCTTCTTCTGGTATACCTGTGATATGGATATTGTTCCATTTGATTGCATCACTTAACTTCTTTAATTCTCTTCTCATACTCCTGGATTTTGTTTTCTCTCTCTTTTTCTTAGCTTCCTCTTTTTCCATAATTTTTTAAAACAATTTTTCTTTAATGTTTATTTTTTAGAGAGAGAGAGGGGGGGTGGGCAGATTGTGAGTAGGGGAGAGGCAGAGAGGGAGGGAGACATGGAATCTGAAGCAGGCTCCGGGCTCTGAGCTGTCAGCACAGAGCCCAATGCCTGAATTGGCTCAAACTCACAAACTGCAAGATCATGACCTGAGCCGAAGTCAAACACTTAACCCACTGAGCCACCCAGATGCTCCCATAATCTTATCTTGTAATTCACCTATTCTCTCCTCTGCCTCTTCAGTCCACACTGTGGCAGCCTGCATTTTACTTTGCACGTCATTTATAGCATTTTTAAATTCATCATGACTATTTTTTAGTCCCTTGATCTCTGTAGCAATAGATTCCCTACTGTCCTCTCTATGCTGTTTTCAAGCCCAGCAATTAATTTTATGACTATTATTCTAAATTCTTGTTCAGTTATATTGCTTAAATCGGTTTTGATCAATTTGTTAGCTGTCGCTACTTCCTGGAATTTCTTTTGAAGAGAATTCTTCCATTTCGTCATTTTGGCTAGCTTTCTGTCCCTTATGTGTCTTAAAAGCTTGTTGTGTGCTCTGCACCTGCGAGCACTGCTCTGTTAAAGGAGGGTCATACACTGTCCAGGGCCTGGCCCTTCAGGAGGTGTTTTTCTGGAGATTGTTACTTGCTCTCTGTTGTTGTGACTTTGGTTATTTTATTACCCTACTCGTAGTGATATTTTGGACCCTCCACCAGGTGTACTTTGATTTGTTCCTTGGAGGAGCCCTGTGTGGCAGAGCAAATTTTCTTTACCAAATATTTCCTTGTCTCATCTTCCTGTGATCTGCCTTCTTACCTTTTGAAGCGCCCACACCCCCTCTCCCTTTCCTTAGCTCAGGATGGCATATAAGGCTCAATTGCTTGCTGTCTTTTTGGAGTCTCATATCTTTGTGGGGCTCCTGGACGTAATTACAATGGCTTTTCTACCATTAACTTGACTGACTGTTGTGTTTCATCTGTTGATACGGTGCTTTTTACCACCAAATGTGACTAGGAAAGACTCAGCCATGCTGTGGCTCACCACGATTCTGCACAAAAATAAACACTGTGTACTCTTAATAGAAATGGGTTCGTGTAGCTAAATCTTCAGTATGTGCTTGAGTTTTGAGACAGGAATGGGATGGGTCTAAGCCTGCCTTTTGTATGTTAATGAGCTTTCACAGCAAAGGTTTATGAATTAACACAGACGGAAGTACTCTTGAAGAAAGACATTTATCTCCTTATTGCCTTCTGTGATGGATTGTTCAGAGCTAAAGGAACACCAGGCCTGAACCAAATCTCCCACTGCCCTATATAGTTTGTACAATCTCCTTTTCGGTAACACAAAGTCAGGGCAGCCTCACTGCCAGACCAGCACTTCTTTGGGAATCTTCTCATAAGATGACAGGATAGAACCATTTGTAATACAAATCAACACTATTATTTTCAAAGTAAGCACTTGAAAAGGTTGCTTGAATAAGAAAAGATGAATTTGCGGAGTTGTATGCTATCTTGCAGTTAAAGTAAGATTACGCTGTGAATTGCACTGCACTGAGTGTTACATTTTATCCTGATGTGTTTTAAGTTGAATTGGGTAAACAGTGTTAGATGTTCTGTTAGTGTTAATATGCAAGATGTGGTGATTAAGTATGATTGTTTCACAGAACTACTACACTTTATTTTTTATTGTTCCTTTGATCTCTGATAGGTAGTGAAAACAAAACTTGTAACTTACAATACATTGATGCAGAAATTAATTTTCATGTTGAGAATTTACTGATTTTTAAAATATTATAGCTAGATTGTAAAAAAAAAAAAAACTAAAAACACTTTAGTCCTCAAAAAGATGCCAATTTCTGTTTCTTTTTCAAATTTGTCTGAAGCCATTTTATCTTTAAAATTTTTGAAACTTAATTTAAGGTGAGGGACCTATACCCAATGATTTGGTGCAAACTTTTGAGAAACATCAAGGAGGTTGATCTTATAAGGTAGTTGCACTTAAATGATCACAGTTGAACTAGTGTTAGTTTTCTTGCTCTAACATTTACTTTGTTTTTTCTATGTAGCATAATATTGGGGACCACCTTTTTGTTTGTTTGCTCTTAAATATATATAGTCACTCTTATAGTTTGTTTACATTCCACTAATTCCCTACCAATAATTTTCAAAAGGTTTTCTGCTATTTAATTCTAATTTTTAGTGTGTTTGCTGATTACTTCCGTAGTTCCTTGATGTGATTGAAGACCATCAATAAAGGGGAAATTTTACATATAGCCTTTAGTATTTTTTTAAAAAAGTGTACTGTGAAATGCTCCTGAAATCGCATATTTTGAAAAGGCCCGCTTCCACTTAAATGTGTGTAAGTCAGCAGGCAAGTTTTTCAAGAATCTAATAATCAGTTATTTCCCCTTTCACCTCGCATCAAACCATAATTTTCCTATGGTAGTATTTAACTTAACTGACTCTAGCAGCTATTTATGTATTTCTGTAGCTTGTAAAACATCTAGTTATTGCTCTATTTCAGCTTGTTCATCCTAATGATTTATTTTCATTTTCTTTAGGATGCAGATCTGCTGCTAACTGGATTTGATTTGTAAGAGGGCAATCTACAGTCAATGGCCACTCTTGTCACATTGCTACTATGGAAAACAGAATGGTCAATAGGATATGGTCTGATAAATAGTGATGATTGAAGATGCTACTTCAATACATGTGAAATCAATGGGAGATACTGGATGCATAAAGAGCTTTCTGAGCTTTTCTTGACAAGCTTGCCTTGAAGAAGTTGGAGGTGTGTTCTACCATTATCCAGTCTTTCTAAAGCGGATACAAATACCTTTGCCTCACTGTAACCAGACAACTACACAACTAATGTGGGACCATGGCACTGCCCAGATGCATGTGGCCAAATTATGTGTGGAGAGCAGTAATGGCATGCTTGGTACACAGGGGATTGGGTGCCTCATTGACTCTCTGTGTGTTGGGATGTTTACTTCAGGCTGCCCATGTGCTTTCACAAAAATTGGATGATGCAGACCCACTGGTCACTACCAACTTCGGCAAGATAAGAGGGATGAAGAAAGAACTCAATAATGAAATTTTGGGGCCTGTTATTCAGTTTCTTGGGGTTCCATATGCAGCTCCACCAACGGGGGAACATCGTTTTCAGCCTCCAGAACCACCATCTCCCTGGTCAGATATCAGGAATGCAACTCAGTTTGCTCCTGTGTGTCCCCAGAATATCATTGATGGCAGATTGCCAGAAGTCATGCTTCCTGTGTGGTTTACTAATAACTTGGATGTGGTTTCGTCATATGTGCAAGACCAGAGTGAAGACTGCCTATATTTAAACATATACGTTCCGACTGAGGATGGTGAGTTTACTGCAGGAAAAACAGGGAGATAAATTTATATTTTCTTTTCTATTCTAAGTTCTAACAATATTGATTCATGTGTACTGGTAGCATGCATGGCTTTTCCTGTTGGCATGTAGACATATTTTACATGCTTGCATGCTGCTCTTTTTGTTTATGTGTGTTAATGTTTCTGTTCTTATTTTTTCCTGTGCCTACTCATTTTCTTTCCTCCACAGCACGTATATTTAGGTAGAAATGGGTTCCTAATTTCCATTTCCTACCGAATGACTTCTGAGAAGATGCATCAACATTTCTCCATTGCATGTGCAGGCTCAACGAATTGGGGATCTTTCGCACTCAGTAAATGCAGGAGCGTATTAAGTTAGATAGTGGTGTTGCATGTTCCGGCGGTCTGTGATGGAGCGCCATGTTATTTTCTAGTCTTCTATTCATTTTTCAGTAAAAAGAATATCCAAGGAATGTGCCAGAAAACCCGGCAAGAAAATATGTAGAAAAGGAGGTATGTATAAAAGTGGAAATAAAAAAATGGGGGAAAAAGCTTACAGAGGAAGAAGATATTCTCCCTAAGGATGATTTGCTGAGCTGAGAAGTAAATGGCTAGGTGATATTTGGAATTTAATGAAGGCATGTCAAGGAATAGAAAGATGATTAAGGAGAGCTGTAGCTGAGTGGATAATATTGACAAAGCTCATTGGTGGTGCCTGATGTTTTGGTGCTGGTAGCATCAATAGGGGTTGAATCTCTGCTTTGAGTTTGTGTTCAGAGGACAAGATATGTTTAGGCTATGACATTGCCTGCAAGGAACACAAATGATGCTGCCTTACCAACTGGTCGACTTTATCTCTGAACCCTGTTCTACAGATACAGATTTCTGTTTCTCGTAACACTGGTGAGCTCTGTCACACACCTAGTTTTTTGTTTGTTTATTCTCAGCTACTTCTGAAAGCCCTGTGAACTTTCTCAGATAAGGGTAAATTTGCCGTAACTGTCTGGTAGTCACCATTATTCAGTCATGGTATTTTTTCCCAGATAGTCTATATTTTCAGTTACTCTTCCAGAAAAGAATGAGATTTTACAGATTTTTATACTAAATATTTACAGTCTTAAAATTACTTTAACATTTTTGTATTTATGTTAAACAATTTAACACATAGGGAAGAACATGATTCAGAAGCTACAATTAAATCAACCTTCAAATCATCCTCTAGCCAGATTGAGCACATGTACACACTGACAGCTGCAAGCTTGCATCTGAATGTAGCTTGTCCACACTCCATTTTTATATAACATCCAGTAAATCACTCATAGGAGAGTATGATTTTTTATGGCAGTAAATCATCTAAGTGTTATTTTGACCTTATTCATAACTTTGTAGACTTTCCAATCTTCATACAGAAGTCATATTAACATTCCAGTGCTGTACATTCTGTCTCCCTATGCACTTCTAATCTGGCTGGACCAAGTCAGATTTCATTACAACATCCCGGTGGGGCAGGGAGTGTCTAAACTGTTCTGTTTTATGAGGATTGCATTGTATGGAAGAAGTTTCATATAACAAAATTCTCAACTGCTGACCAGAGTGTTCGCATTCAATTGAGTTTTGGTTTGGTTTTTATTTCTTTGGTCATACTAGTAGAATGGGATTTAACCTCTATTTTATTATTGATGCCATGATTTGGGTTAAAAGCACAGTATACTTGAGAAAAGCACAGATACAGACACAGCAAAGGTGTTCTAAATGACCAAAACAAAGTCTCTTGTTCCCCAAATGAGAAAAACTGCAGTAATTTACATACCTTCAACTAATGTACAATACTGCAGTGGTTATTATTATGCAGCTTGTCAAGCACGTGTAATTAACTAAGTGACTTTCACCTCCTATCACAAAGATGTTGATTCACAAAGTCATAAATAAAGATGCTATTAAAGAATGCATAAATAGAGCATAATACATGAAAATATGTACAATCAAGAAAATGATAAAATACCAAAAAGGTAAGCTAGTAAGTGAGAAAGTGACCTTTCCTCTCATATAACTTCAGGGGGGAATGAATTCATTAGAAAATTCTTCTTCATCATTCTTTAGATGGTCGGTTCCATCGGCTGTATGAGAGAGTTGGCAAAGAGGTGTGTAAGGTTGTGCTATTTACTTTGGCAACTTTGAACTCATTTATAATTAGCCTGAGGACAAAATCTGTAGATACCTACTTCAGTCTGTGTGGTTTAGAGTCCAAATCTATTGTGCTTTTATGTTAAGCAGTTCAAACAATTATTTTGCTTTGGTATTTAATATATCTTATTATTAATACATAAATTTTGATCATTCATTGGCTGTTTGTATATTACTCCAAAGTCTAAATAACAAAGATTTTAAATGTAGCTTTCTATATAGATAGCTTTTCTTAAACTAAATAAAACTAAATTTTAGAGCTTGACTTTAAGCAGAGGAGTAGAATTCTTTTTTCCAAACTTTTAACTTTTTTCCTTCTCTATCATGGAAGGTCTCTTTTGGTCACTTCATGAAATCATAGTATTCTGGTTTAAGAAGATATTAGTCATTTATAATATCTATCTATCTATGCCAATATTTATCTCATATGGACTCTAAGTTCTTCAACAGAATTCTAGATGTTTATAAATGATGATTCAGGAAGTATAGGAATAGGTGTGCTGCATTTTATAGGTGATAAGATATTTTGGTTTGTTATTATTTATCTTTTTAAAAAAATTGTGTGTAGTCATCTTCCAAGGCGGGTGAACCCCCATCCCTGTGCCAAGTACATTATAATCCGTGCATACTGTATTCATCCAAAACTATTTCTTAATTGCTTAAGTCATGCACTATGCAAAGGAGTCAGTAATGAATGAAACGAAGATCTTTCTTCTCATAGAACTTACTGCATTCAAGTAAATATACAAAGAACAAAGCATTTTCTCCACTTTAGTCTGCATAACAGGATCTTTTACTTTGCCTAAGAGATCCCTTGCTATAGTTTTTAAATAGAGCTTTTGTAATATTATCCTGTTCAGTTGAAGGGGGAAAAACATTTTACCAATAAGCTCCCACTCATTTAAAACAGGTCCTAGTTGCACTTTTCAATCTATCTTTTTATATTTCCCATGATAGTTTCAGCCATATGTTAATTACTCCTTAGATATTTCTTCAGGGTTTTATCCTTGCAAAGTGAAACATGGGGGCTTAAAATGGGATGGCTGTCAACACTTGGCCAAATGGGCAGATAATGTGTGACAGAAACTGGAATTTGGATGTAGAGGACAGATGTAATTTATCACCAACAAATTTATGAGAAAAGATACTGCTATCCTTATTATATAAATAAGAAAGTAGGTTCTGAGGTTAAGTGTTCTGACCCAATTTCTATTGCCAGTAAGTGATAGGTTTGTCTCTAGTTCTTGCTTCTATTAGATGCATTTCCATCGTGTTAAATTACCTCTTCTAGAGATTTCTTTTTTGATTTTAAGTTTATTTATTTATTTTGAGAGAGAAAGAAAGAGAGCAAGCAGGGGAGGGTCAGAGAGAGAGAGGGAGAGAGAGAATCTCGAGCAGGTTCCATGTAGTCGCAGAGCCAGATGTGGGGCTCCATCTTACGGTTCTTGAGATCAAGACTGGAGCTGAAATCAAGAGTCGGATGCCTAACCTACTAAGTCACCTAGGCACCCCTCCTCTAGAGATTTCTATAGCTTTGGTAATATATCGTATCTCTCTACCTTATTGATCTTCCTTTCCTTTTTTTCCTTTCAAAAATGTCATGAATTCTTTTTATTCTACCTGTTGACTCTATTTTAGGTAAATTTCATGCTCCCGTTAATTGAATTGGGTCAAGACAATGATAGCAACTGATTTCCAGAAACATGCTAGTAACCATTGTAGTTACTCGGATCTTCAATGCTACACATAATTTTATTACTGTCTAGGCCAAAATCTCAGCATATTTCTCCTGGCTACTATCAGGAGTAGCTTTAATTTGCTTATGTTTCATTTTGTTTCTTTAGTTTGCTGTCTTGTGAGAGTTGCCAACAAACAGAAGAGTGGTCAAATATTAGGCAGTAAACATGAGAAGGAGGAACAAGGGACCCAGAGAATCCACAAACAAATTGATTGGCTCATGGATACCCTAGAGTTGTGTAGCTTTGCATTTCTCCAGCACTTTGACTGTTATTTGCATAGCTCTTCTGAGATGAATACAGAATTGATTTTCCTTTCTGCAGTGGTGAGAAATTGTTAACCTAATTTTCTCATTTACCTCAATTTTTAATATACAGAAAATTAGAATCTTAATAGACAACTCTTGCATAATTGTTTACTCCTTGAGCATTTTATTCCTGATTTTCATAAGTATTTTACTTGTGCATTCTCCGTTTAGTAGTCATTACCTGAGATAACATTGAATTCATTCAAGAGTCTTTTCCACACATTTAGGGTCTATCTGGTTCTTTGTTGTACATAGAGACTGATTTTTCCCTAATTAAATATGTATAACACTACTCCTTTCATTGTTAATGTGTTTAAAAGGAGATTATATTCCAGAATGCTCTCCTTCTTGCCTCATATATTTTTAACAAATTTATGCATCTAACAAATATTTATTGAGTCCTTACTCTGTGCCAATTAGAGTACTGTTCTAAGACATCAGTGAAAAAATAAAAAAAATAAAAATAAAATAAAAAAATCCTTGACCTCCTGGAGCTTACATCTAGTGTGTGGAGACAAATTATAGACAATAAACACAATTAACAGTTAAAGTTAAAAGGTGTAAGAAGATGAGAAATCAACAGAATATGGAGGATCAGGAGTGCTGATGTGATGGATGAAGGTAATTTTAAATGAGATATTTAGCATAGCCCTCATTCCAGCAAAGACCTGAAGGAGATGAAGTGGTTATCTAGGGAGGTGAAGTGGATATTCGGAGAAAGAGGAGAGTAAAGAGCTAGTACAAAGGCATTAAGGTGACAGGTTGTGTTGTGTAGTTAAGGAACAATTATGACTATTGTATATATGAAAGGGGAGAGAGAGAGAGGCAATGAGATTCAGAATGATCCAACTTTTTATTAAAGAGGTAATGCCAGCACAGCAAATGAAACTATGAACAAAATTAAAAGGTAACTTACTGAGTGGGGAAAAATACTTGCAGATGATATATCTGATAAAGGGTTAATATTCAAAATATATAAAGAGCTTATGCAACTCAACACCAAAACAAAAGCCCCACAAATAATACAATTTAAAAGTGGCAAAGGACCTGAATAGACATTTTTCCAAAGAAGAGATACAGATGGCCAGCTGACATGTGAAAAAATGCTCAACATCACCAATCATCAGGGAAATGCAAATCAAAACCACAACAAGGTATGATCTTATACCTGTCAGAGTGGCTAATATCAAAAAGACAAGAAAAGACGAGTGTTGGCAAGAATGTAGAGAAAAAGGAACCCTTGTGCACTGTTGGTGGGGATGCAAATTGGCATAGCTATTGTGGA